GGCTGGAGATTGTGCACAATTATTCGGATTTGGTCTTTATCAGTAGGCCTTAGGGTCATCATTGAGGACTTTGCCCTCCACCGGGCTACGAATTCAGAGAAGCTCTCCTTAGGCTCCTGCCTTGTTGTCTCAAGATCACGGGTTGTAATCTCGATTTACGTATTATAGGAGTACTGTGCAATGAAAGCCCCCGCCATCTCATCCCAGTTTCGCTTAACATCGTCTTCTAATTTTGCGTACCAGATAGCGGCCACACCCGATAGGGTCCGATTGAATAATGAAATCTTCTGCGGTCTGTTGAGGCCCATCAGCCATAGTATATCGGAGAACAACAGGAGATGCACCATGGGATCCCCACATCCATCAAAGCGATCGATTTGTGGCATTTTGAACCTATCTGGCAGCATTACAGCCATGTCAGTGTACCCGTCCTCAATGTCCGGGATAGACTTCACCCCTTGGGATTTCTTGAACAACTTCTCAAGCTTGCTCAGTTTCAATGTTGTAGGGTCGACCTTGAACTCAAATGGAGAGTCCGGTTGATTCATAGGCGTAGGTGCCTTGGACAATTGAGGTAGAATCTGGGGCGGAGCCAGCCCTGTCGGAATGTCTGTCTCTCCCTAGACATTTGGTACCTCCCCGGGTGGTGAAACTCCTGGTGGCGAAGGAGCTTGATGCGAAGCAGATGCTCCGTTTTGCTGCTGCAACCAGGTTATTAGCTCGACCTGCTGGGCCATGATCAAAGCCTGCTACTTGGCAAATTCCGCTTGGCGGACGGCGTCCTCCTGCATGGTTTTCATGCTCTCTTGGAGTTGACGCATCATTACCTCCATCCCTGACGTATTCTGCTGATCCATTTGACTGACTGGTATATGTATCTTTATGGCAACAATTGAGACCTCAGCCCGACTGTCCACTGATGGGGTAGACCACTGCTCTGGCAACCTCTGCTCAGACACACTGCATTTTCTCGGCCTCCGTCTGATAACTGGGGGTAGAGAGTGGAACACTGGTTGTCCATCAACCAGATCCTCAGATCGATTGCGTCGGCGACCTCTTGTCCAGAGTGCTTGGGGAATATCTGCTTGGTCTGAAGCAATTGTGCTAAACTACCTAGCAAAAAGATAAAATAAAGCAGTAATAAGGAAATAAACAACCAGACAAATGGACAGCATAACGGCTTAAAATAAACACACAATGCACAGTTGGGTATCACAACACACAGTTGATAAGCTGCAAATACTGTTCTCAAACACTGATCATTATCCCCAAATCACTGTCCCCAAAACTGAATCCGATACCCGCAGATAACTGATTTCCAAAATACTGAACTGGTGCTTGCAGGCCTGATGCCCAAACTTGTAAACTGATACATGCATTCCTGTAGAGACGCACTCTAAAAGCATATAACAAGCAAGTGAGAGCCAAAACACCCCTATGTTGGTGGTAGGGTTTCCCTGTCCTATTTTATCAGGAGCTAAGGTTTCACTACGCACACATTGGTTTCAAACAACCTATAATCGGGTAAGCAACCTGTCCTAGTTTGGAATGGTCACTATGGATTCCGAATATGCACTAGGTCGAATGGTCAAAAGGGTGCCCCGGTAAAACCAGGGTTTGTGTTCCCGTCATGGCAGAGCCCCGCAACCGGTCAGCCTTATGGCACGCATCGCAAAGCGAGCCTCCGGCAAACCGTTCAGGAATAGCATACGGCAAACACGGTGTCCTAGGCGCACCGATGCAAATGCAATGAAAAGAAACACAAAAGCGTAGTCAAAACCAGATATCATGAGTTCAAGTCAAGTTCTCTAGATCCCCAGCAGAGTCGCCAGAAATTATAGACATCCCCGAACGCCCCGAGAGGGAAATCCCGTTCTGTTCATTATGGCTCACTATAGTTCAGGACTCAAAGTCATGGTCCTGTATCTAATCTCGCAGAGTGCAATGCAAGACCGATGAATCATCAAAGAGTCCAAATCTGGCAAATCGTTTTGAAAAATTGATTTTTAGAAAGAAGTGCCAAACATGGACTGTTTTGCCAGATACAGAGTCGCCACCTAAATATTTTATTTTGAGAAATTTAGGAAACCCTGACTCGTGCCTAAGGCCACGTGTTCATCATCACCAAAGTTGCCTCGGCTCGGGAACTTGGGTGCGATTGGGGAAGGTCACTTCATGAGCACCCCCGCTCGCCTGATCAAAGATCGGCCTCTACTTACCATGATATCTAGTTTTGAAAACATTATGCGTTCTTATTCTGGTTATTAGCCTAGATTTAATATGTGATGCGCACAGCATACAAGTATAGACTGAATCGCCTGAATTGGAACAAAACATTTCATGTTTGTTTTTGAAAGCGGCTTGCTACTCGTAAGTAGGCTTAAGATGCAGATTTTGCCACCCTCGGGTGGGCTTAGAAAACATGATGATTTGCAACTCTCAAGTGGGCTTAAAACTCGCAATCAATGAATTATCCCAATTCAGGCAATCAAACCTTCACCCACAGGCATTCAGGCAGTTATATCACATAAGCAAATAGCCTCATGGTAAGCATGCTATCATGGCAGTCACTCACACACATGCAAGGATGCCAAAGCATAAATACTTACCAAGTACTCCAAGCCAAAACAGAAGCTATGTTAGAAATCCATGCATGATCCTAACTATACAGAAATGCCTAATGCAACACATACAAAATGCAACTATAGTAGGCTCGGCTATTCTACAATGGCATGTGAAATGCTACAGCTAACACGTATTCAACTTGGAATTGAAATATGATGCAGTTAGTATGATGCGCCGAGCCCGGTGCATGCAAGACATATGAATGGATGCAAACATGCGAGCATAAGTATGCTAATTGAAACATGCCCTAATCTAACCATCTTAAGCTGATAAATAAAAAGGAGAAAGACGTGGGGTTGGAAGACATACATCACACACACACACACTTATTACAATTGTGCCCTCGCTCGGAGGGTCCAAATGAATATTACACAACCAAAATAAATAACGAATTATTACACAACACTAATTACTTAGCAAATGAACTAGGTAAGCAAAGTAAACTAGCATGCTATGCTACGTGCAATGGACTGCCTCAGCTCTGCTCGGAATGATAGAGGGTGTATGCATGCTCAATTTGCCTTGTCGGTAAATTCTATCACGATGCCTTGACTCGCCTTTGTTTGTAATTGAATCCAGAAACTTGCACAAAGCTCCGAGAGGCTGAAACTCCACTCGAGGAAGCTGTGGGAGGGCCACCGACTAGCTATTGGGCTTGGAGACCACCCACCGACCAGGTTATGTGGGAAAAACCAAAAGGGGTGGTCGGCCTGCCAGAAAAGCTGGTCGGCCGACCAGTTCCTACCTCTAGTTTCTGGTTTTTTCTGCAACAAAGGCAAGAGAAAGAGAAAGCAAGGTATTTGCAACACACGTGTACACGACTACTCTCCCTGTCGTTGCACAAGCTCTAGGGAGTGTGGTCCTCGATCCTTGTGCCACCAATCACGTATCTCGATGCATGATGGCCGAGGAATCAAATTGTACGACTCGATGTGAAATGAATGCACATATGAACGCAACAAGGCCTAAACTCCATCATAGATAATCCGGAGCGTCGGCAATTGGGAATCGAGGCACGTTTTGTCACTTGGAGTACGAAACGTCCCTCGTTTCTCGTGTTTAGACTAACCCTACTCCAAACACAATGCAATATGCATGATACGCATGAATGCAATTCTAACATGCAATCCTAGATGCAATGCCACTGAATGACGCAAACATGCAAGGGATGAAATGCAAACATGCACCTAGCATATACAATGCTAACACTACATGGCATGCATAATGCTCATGAACTAAATGCGACTAACAACCTATGGCATACTCAATGCGCCTAACAACCTAGCATACACAATGCGAGGAATGACATGGCATACACAATGCTAACAACATAACATACACAACACATTGCAACATGGCATACACAATGCAAGGTGGACTTAAACCAATATGAGTGGACCTCAGCCACACTCAAATTAGTGGCCATGTGATGAAAATGAGACAACTGAGATACATGCAAATATGCACGAATGCAAAGAACCGTTTTTAAGACACAACATGCAACTCTAACTAAGCATGGTAAAGGATGAAACATGGCATAAAATGACACATGATACAGCTCTGAAATGGCATAAAATATGGTCCCGAAACATGCAAATATGGCACACAATGCAAGCTAGGGGGCCCGGGTACTGAAACTAGTGAAATGTGTTACACTAGAGGTACCCAAAACAATGTACCAAAAGCAAAACTAACCCCAAACAGACCCTAGGCAGGTCTGAAACAGTGGGGAAATGGGCTAAAATGATGGCTCGGAATGCAACAAAATGGAGCTCATTCAATGGTCCGAAAATAAGGCATACAAGTCTGACTCTCAAACACATTTAAAGAGTACAAAACATGGCAATATGGCATTCAAACAAGCTCTAAAATATGATGTATAACGAACCCAAAACATGAACACACCTCAGTATATGCATGGAATGAACCTCGAAACTGAAAGTTAAGCATGGGTATTGAACTACAAGCATGCAAAACCAACATTATTCAACCATGAGAGCCAAAACCAGAGCTAGGGTAGTCCACAATAAGCATAATATCAGTTTAAGGCATGGCCAAAAAGTGTTAAAATCAGGGGTCAACAAAGCATGCAAAGAAAGCTAGTGAACCATGAGTTACATTACAACTATATGGAGCATATGAAGGCTCACCAAACCAGCCAAAAAAAGAAGTATGCCATTCTAAAATATGCCCAAATAACCACTGAAACTCAGTCAATGCATGCAAAAATGATGGGCTCCTTTGAAAGGCCAATAAGGGGATTACTCAACACATACAAGATAGACATGTAAAATGGAAAATCCAACTCTGGAAATCAGTTATGACAGCCCTAAAACTCACCAAAAAGGCCCTGAAATGGGTCAATGAAACATGCAATGAAAGGTCCTGAAGGAAATTCTTCAGCTTCTACATTTTCCAAGTGGCAGTCTTTTGGATCTCTGGATTTGGATTACATCCACTATGGAAGTTATGGATCTGAAGATGCTTCATTGACAATTGGTTCCCTTTTTACGGATTCGAAGAATTCTCCTCATCTTCGGATTTCTTTTGAAGATGATTCTTTAATTGCTGGGGGAAAAGTTAAGTTTTCCGTCACTTGTTATTTTGCGAAGCAGTTTAATGCTCTTAGAAAGAAATGCTGCCCCGGTGAAGTGGATTTTGTACGTTCCTTGAGCCGCTGCAAGAGATGGAGTGCACAAGGGGGAAAGAGCAACGTGTACTTTGCGAAGTCTTTGGATGAAAGATTCATTATAAAACAAGTCCAGAAGACTGAGTTGGAATCTTTCGAGGAATTTGCACCCCAGTACTTCAAGTATTTGACAGATTCTCTCAGCTCAGGAAGTCCAACATGCCTTGCTAAAGTTCTTGGTATTTATCAGGTTAGTTCCTCATTGACAAATTCTTTTGCTTTGGTGATTTTTGGTTCGGTTCTTGTGATATACTAAACTGTAATCTGAATGGCAGGTAACCGTCAAACACTTGAAAGGTGGCAAAGAAACAAAAATGGATCTGATAGTGATGGAAAACCTCTTTTTCAAAAGAAGTATCTCAAGGGTCTATGATCTTAAGGGCTCTTCACGAGCTCGTTACAATGAAGATACAACAGGGACAAACAAAGTATTGCTTGATATGAATCTTATAGAAACACTGCGTGCAAAACCCATATTCCTTGGGAGCAAGGCAAAGAGAAGCCTCGAACGGGCTGTTTGGAATGATACTTCTTTTCTAGCGTCTGTTGACGTGATGGATTATTCATTGCTGGTGGGGGTGGATGATGAGAGCAAAGAGCTGGTTCTAGGGATCATTGATTTCATGAGACAATTGTTGTTTGCCTCGTCCTCTGGAAGAGAGAGGGCTTTAGAAGAGAGAGAGAGTGTGTGTTGTTTTGTTTTGTTTTGAGAGAGCTGTGTATGCTAAGCGGAAGCAGAGCCTGTAGCACATGAAGCTTGTGTGTTGGCAGTGATGAAATGTGAAGACACAAGAGAATTACTGTGATTACTCAAGGTGCAGATCCAGTCGTTGTTGCTGACGATGGGAAGATCAAACTGTTCCCTGTGATATTGTTACCTAAAGAGAAACTCGTTGATACCAACGGAGCAGGGGGAGGGTTTGAATTGGTTGAGATCCGGCGGGCGGTCAAGGCAAGGTTGCCGCCCGCCGGAAGAGGAAGAACACCAAGATCTTTAACCTTGCTCTGATACCATGTAAAATAAATTGATATATATTGATTGATATCTTGTTGATGTATTACAACTGTATATATAGAAAAGAAGATGGTAGGTGGTAGGTGATAGTGGTAGGTGTAGATGGTAGTGGAGGTGGTAGGTAGTGGTAATTTATACAATTTACATTAACATTGTTTGTCACAGTAAATCCAATGACTTGATCATCTGTGCTACTGCTACTTTCTCTGAGTGTATTTTTGGAATTTGAAGTTTTATGGCTTTTATTAGAAGGCTAAGAAATTTATGTTTGTCCACACAATAGTGATGATTGCATATGATATGTTTTCTTCATTAATTGGGGCTTCCTATTTAAAACAATCTAAGGTGAAATGGGAAATGGGTCTTTATCTCTCTGTAGTCAAGCTTATATTTAGGGTTAGGGTCTGTGGAAGGTTCAATCTGCCTAGCTTTTCTGTTCTGGAAGATTTTCTTAATTGTTCTTGGGTTTTAGATGTTTTATTAGTATTTTGATGTAAATATACTTTAATCGTATCCCTTGTACTTTTGAGAATCTTTCATGCTACTTGATAATAGAAATTTAAACCAAAAAAAATGAAAAATTGAAAGAGAAAAGTTGGTTTTGACCACTCCTTGTTAACTAAGACATACACATTTTAAGGCAGCTTTAATAGGTTTGAAATTCCGTCTCTTCTGATTTATTCTGAGGCCAATAAGATTATTTTTTGATTCATTTTTGTTTCTTTTTCTTGTTGGATTGATGACCCAAAAAAGGTTTTGATCTGAAACTAGTTTTTCTACATATAGCCTGAAGTGGATATTAGTGATAAAAGAAATTTAAACCCAAATAACTAAATAAATAAAAGTTGAGAAAGAAAACTTGGTTTCAAACACTCATTGTTATATTCTAAGGTTAATAACATTATTTTGGTTTCAATTTTGTTCTTTTCTTGTGTTACATTGATATGATTTCCTAAAAAAGGGTTTTGATCTAAAACTAGTTTTTCTACATGTAGTAAGCTTGAAGTGGAATAGTAGGACTAACCATAAGAAGAAACTCCAAAAATTTGTTCTCTATTATCATCGCCCTCAACTGATTACTTTTAAAACTCATCATAATATTTTGATTCCTAAATCAACATTCCAAATTGGCCATATTTTGTATACATGTTACTTTTACTTTTTCTTTGAGTTCTCATGGAAGAAAACTACTTATGCTACTATGTCAAGAAAAGCATTAACTACTGTCAATTCCTTCAAATGATTATCTTTTATTTTAAACATGAAGCTGGTAACCATATTTGATCTATTTAATCAAGAAATGAGAATTGTTTCATGTGGCCCACATTTAATTTACAATTTTACTCTTTTCTCTTCATGTTTGATGGAAGAAAATTATTTGTGGTTACCATGTCGTAAATTTTGTAACTATGGCTTTGCTACAACCATTGAAAATCATTGAATAAACTGTTTCTCCTTATTGTTTTCTCTATAATGAGTCACATAATTAAGCACAAATTCCATATGTCCTCCTCTTTCTCCATCACTACCTCTCTCTCTCTCTCTCTTGATCAAGAAGATCAAGATCAAGAAATAAGGCGACGGCGAGAGATCTGCGAGGTCCGGAGAGGCGCTGGAAACACCGAGTGGCGGAGGTGGAGACAGGGGGAAGTCGCAGGTACGGCGGCAGGCGGCGGAGATGGTGCGGAGGAGAGACAGGGATTGGGGCAGGGGCGGAGAAATTGAAGTCATGTTATTGTTGTTTGCCTCGTCCTCTGGAAGAGAGAGGGCTTTAGAAGAGAGAGAGAGTGTGTGTTGTTTTGTTTTGTTTTGAGAGAGCTGTGTATGCTAAGCGGAAGCAGAGAATGAAACCATGCTTGTTAATGTGAGTACTGAGAAGGACCCTGGCTTGATCCAGATTGGTTCTACACTGTCTTCGGCGCGAGCGATTTGTCGCTTTCTTAAAAAATTTCAAAAAATATTTTGCGCGGTCCTGTGAAGACTTGTATGGGATCGCTCTTGAGATTGTGCAGCTTAGGATCGCTCTCAGCCTCGAGATTCGACCCCTCACTTTCAAACCTTGAACCTGAGTTCAGAACGTTCAACGGTCAACCACAACGTGAGGCCTGTGTGGCCAGATTCGAAGCAGCCCTCGGACAAGAGGCAAGAAAGTCAGATCAAGAAGATTAGACCAGATCAAAGGAAGCTTGTAAAGCTAGAACAGAAGTACCCTTCCAACTAGGGGCAAAAATATCAGATATGCTCGAAGAGCCGAAGATGGATCCTTCAGTAAATCAATACAACAGCCACTTTCCTGGATACGGATGGCTTCAAAACCCTAAAACCATTTGGCATGGACTTGTTACACTTTTACCCTTTGAGAGGCTCGCTGGGCCGAAAACCCGGAAGGGCGACCCAGGCAAAAGTTAGAGCAAGGAAAAAAGGAAAAGAACAAAAAAGAAGAAGAAGAAAAATGCAAAGAACAAAAAAGAAATGAATAAAAGATTAAAAAAAAAAGAAAAAAAAAGAAAGAAGAGAAAAGATGAAAAAAAGAAAAAAAAAATGAAAAAATGAAAAGAATTGAAAAGAAAAGAAAAACAGAGCTCGCAAGGTTGAAAACCCGGAAGGGCGGCCTTGGCAAAAGTTAGAGCACAAACAAATCCCTCTCTATCCCTCTCATTTCCTAAAAAACTTCTAAGTCCCTAATCACCATTTCTTCTACACCACCAAGCTCTACCGTCACCACTTCATTTCCAGCAACAAGGAGGGCTTCCATGTAATGGTTTTGATCATCTTTGCCTTCTCTGTATCCGAGAGTTCGGTTGTCATCGTCACTCTGAGGACTGATTGCAATGCGCTGCGATGCTATCGAAACAAGGGGCAACTTTCCGTTGCCATACAGTGTGCCGCGGTGCTATTCAAACAAGGGGCAACTTTCCGTTGCCGTGCAGCTCTTTCCAAGCAAGGGGCAATTTTCCTTCGGATCTGAAGTTGCGCGTCTTAAGAGTAGGTTCTGTGCTTGTTGAGCATTGGCCGTTTGCAAAAATAATTTTTGAGAATTTTTATTGAGGTTGACTGATCTCTTGAAAATTATTCCATATTTTCCAAAACTGGACCATTTCTTGGACCCAAAAAGGGAAAATTTTCAGTGCTCATAACCTAACCTGCATGATTTTCAAATCAAAAATTGAACAAGCATGTTAATCTAACTTTCATATTGGTCAAAATTGTTTCAGTAGAAAGCAAAAACAAAAATGGTCAAAATAATGAACTAGGGGCACAGTTGAGTCAGGCTTCCTATCTTTCTCCCATTGTCAATGCATCTGCCAGAAAGGGCACTCTACCTGCCAGAAAAGGGCACCACTAAAGCTGACCGCAAAAGGGAAAAAGGCTCTCACATCCTCCACGCAACGAGGTATCAAGCCAAGTGCGAAGCACGAACGGGAACGGATCAAGATTTTCCACTCCTTTGTTTAGACAAATCTAATCACGTCCAAACTACCCAGTAAGAGCATCGTCAACCAATGTCGATCGCAGATCTGCTGCACATCCAGCCGCATCGCAACCCCTCTGTGGGAGAAAGTTCGCTATTGTAAGCAGAAGAAGAGAATCTAGCAGAATGCTTGGGGCAAGAACCCACAACTTCCTGTTTATTCATCAACCACCCTAGGGAGGGATGAAAAATGAGAGATTAAAGAATAGAGAGATGTGCGTTGAGAGGAAAAGTAAGAAAAGGGCTTTTTCAAAAAAAACGGAGCTTGAGGGCTGAGTGATATGAGAATCACAAATGAGAAAGGGTGGGAAACAATACCCGGGGAAACAGGCTCCATGTGCACATTTGAGTCTTGTGTTTTATTTTGTCTATCTCGATTCTTGTTTTGAGTCGCTTCGAGTGTTACTCGATGTGTTTAGGTTGTTTACCTTTGTTTTTCCCTTGTCGAGTCGTTTTGGCTGTGGCCAGTCGTCGGCTCAATACCCGGTTAAGAACTCATTTCTCAATTTCCGAAAAAATCATCTTGTGCTCAGAGTGCTGTGCCATTCTCCACATTTGTGCAAAACAGTATTTGTTCTTTCATAAAACTGCAGGGTCCACCCCCGATAAGTGTGAACAGTAGAACAAGGGCCTATCTGAAGCTATGTAGGTTCCAGACTGCAAAACAAAAGAAAAAAAGAAAATTTGGAGCATCTTAGGGTGTTCCAGCTTTGGCAAGATCCAAGACTGCATTTCAGGTGCACCTTCCCAGACCTCGCCATTTCTTTGCAGTATGAGTGTATCTCGACCCCAAGTGTAAGCCTGCTTCAAGTCAGAATGGCAATTCAAGCAGCACCTGTGGTTTTCACATGTAGATGTTATCTCTCGCCAATATAAACAGGGTGTCCCCTTTTGAGCTGAGCGTATTGCCAAGTCCTCCGAAAGGTAAATCAAAGGCACCAGAGTACATATTTGATGCTCCTCTATTGCATAGAATATGAA